CAAACGACTCTTTTTCTAAGCATGTATATATATATATATATATATATATACGCACACAACACCCGTGACTGTAAAATGATTCTAAAACACGTTGGAAGAATATAGCGTACATTACTAGTTGTTGTTTTTTTCTTTACTGCAATAAACAACTATTTATATGTATTTGGTAACATAGTGTGACTTTATTCAGTATAGGCTAACAACACACAAATAATAATTTTTCTCACTAGTGGCATACCAATGATCTAAAAGGCCTAGGGGCAAGATTTTCTTGATGGTTTCTTAATTTTTTACAACCGTTTCTTCCATGATCACATATATTATTATTTGTTTCGAGGACCATCCTTTGTCAACTATACCGCTTTGTCAACTTATACCGCTAGAAACCGGGTTTCGATACCCGTGGTGGGCAGAGCACATATAGCCTTTTGTGTAGCTTCGTGCTTAATAATAAACAACAACAACAACTTGTCAACTAATTATTTAACATCAAAGAAACTTGTAAACAACAAATGACACGAAAATTAAAACCAGTGTTGTCCTATAATTGCTACAATTGGCATTACTTGAAACTTCTCATGGGTGAAGTATCAATATTTCCTTTGTAGTCGATTTTTTAGTTCGTTCCTGTTAATGGACAGGACTAAAGATCTCCCCACGGACTTTATTGAACCATTCAAATGTAGCCCATTGTGTAGCTTTGTGCTTAATTACAAAACAAACAAACAAAAAACCCCCCAGTGACACAGCGGTATGCCTGCGACTTACAACGCTAGAATCCGGGTTTCGATACCCATGGTGGGCAGAGCACAGATAGCCCATTGTGTAACTTTGTGCTTAATTACAAACAAAAACAAACAAAGCATTTCTGTGGCAATGGAAAGCAAATCATGAACCCTTTGAATCAGAGTACTCTAACCATTAGAATGATTAGATTATTCCCGACCACACTAAACATTAAATCGTCTATTTGAAGAAGAAAGATAATTTAATAGAACAGAAAAGTGGAACACACAATATGAACGTTCCAAAAAAAAAGTGTTAATCATCTACGCAAAATGCCTTTATCTAGGTTAACAAATTCCTTACTTTCAAAAAATTAGATGTCAAACATTTATTGACAAACCTTTCGCTTTTTCTAAGGACAAAGCTATTTAAATTCGTACAATTTTCTTGTTTAGATAGTATACGCATAAGTTTATATATATATATATACATCTTATATAGGAATGCGGCCCTTGCATGTTGATGATGCTACATTTAAGTCTATGTATATATATATATATAATGTGCACAAAACGATTAAAGACCAACTAAAGTTTACAATAAAAAAGCTGTTTTCAGACATTTCTAGTACCTGGAGTCACTCTATAGTATGAAAAGCATTCTGTACCTGTTTTAGGGCTTAAAACCCTATGAGCGTGCAGTTCATTCTATTTGTTCAATGGCCCTCTTCTTCAAGGAACGTGTCTTCCATCGGACAAATATAGTCCATTGAGGGGTGTTATCATTACCAGTTAAGCTGTACGCAGGGCCAGTTGAACAAGCATTTAACATCATAAAGGTCGTAGGACCTGTTCTCTATACTCTGTGTCATTAATGGTATTATTCTACACGATGTAGATGTTCATATGTCAAGCGTTGCTTATTGTTGCCCACATACTTCTACCATTTCCATATTCATCACGGTGTCTTATGGAACTGAGGTTAGATTTTCTCTAAATGAATATAAGTCTGTTGTCTGGCGTGAAAGGAGAAGTTCACTTTACCTACAAGAAAAAAAAAGAATTGCTCAACATATTGTTGAGCAAAATACATCTTATTGAGCGTCTAGACGATCTTTTAAATTCAGTACATAACTGTCTATATATATATTGATACACATTTAACTTCCTGCAGCGAACATTGATTCAATTCTTGTAGTAGTTACCCTACAAGTAATGTGTGTTGGAGAGATGATTTGCCTTATGCAGATATTCGAATAATTGTACCATTGGTTTGGACGCATCCCCGCATTCTGCTAATGACGCTTTGAGACATAATGCTTTAACAGTGATTTAAAACTAAGGAAACTTGACGGCTTTCGGCACATGACTTTAACAACAAGAAATATATACATCTGCCTCTGTGAAACTAAGAAAGACAAATATTTCCTGCCAAAGTGATAGTATATCTGCTCATACTTGCTCTCTGAACCAAGAGCAAGAATGTATAGTGAGTCTCATTCCAACAACAAAATGTGGTGAGCGTCGATCAATGTGAAAGATTTAAAATCTTATTAGATCATTTCTACAGTGTTTCTGTGAACACTGATAATTATATGTCTGAAGTCACTACTGGTCATTCTTACTCTTTATCTTAGTATATACTCTGTAAAACTGGTCGTCTCAGTGTGAATTTTAAATATTCGCATTTGTAAACTAATTAACATGATTATTGTAATATATGATTGTTATCGAGTTTAAAGCAGATAAGAAGATAAAAAGCGAAAGTGCTGTACATAAGCTGTGCTGTTTTTGAAACACATTTTCTCCAAAAGTTTTAAGCTCTTCTGAAAAATATCATATTCAGGTGTTAAAGCTTAATTCTAAAATTGTGTTTTTTAAAACATTATCTCATTGTTAAGAGCGGCTTGTTTGTTGTGTTATATGTAAACGTAATAATTAAACTAACCAAAATATTGCCATGTTGGATGTTTTGATGGCCATTGCGTTCGAATACTTTATGCACACTCAAACTTTCTAACATATTTGGAAAAGTTGCTTATGTATGCTTTTAAATACTAGTTGATTTCTGGACACGTGCACTTTTCCTTCAGGCTTATCTCTCTTCTTACGGAACTATTATTTTTAGTAATTAAACACATAAATTATGTATCAGAAATACCAATCTTTAAAAAAAATACGGCTTGTAACCCGTAATGTAAAAGCCCAAAGTTCATCGTGATCATTCGGTGATGGTTAAAGTTCGTATCACCTTGCATCCTGTGTCAGTCTCAAGATCGGTATTCCGTCAGGTACGGGTTGAAAGGCTTCATGCTGCAGATCGGTAGGTGGCAGCTTAGAATAAATGCATCGTCTTTGTTCGTGCGTTAAAATGAAGGGTTGATGTGATTATAGTCGTATCCGTGGTAATTAAAGTGGAATGTTTATGCATTCTTATATGTATTTTTTTTTCTGAAAAAAAACACACACACAAAACAGTTACAATCTGCTTTCACTATAGTTTCAGCGTCGCCTTCCCATACCCATATAAGAGAATTATTATAAACTATACCTAACCATCTGTAAGAAAATGGTAATTACTTTCTGCCTTTCGTAAGTTTATATCATCTCCTCATACCGATAAGAAAGTGATTAAGGCACCACTGACTCTTAAAGAGCGTCCCCTATATTTCCAAAATCACATTTTTCAAATTAGCCTAAATCGAAAGTTTAACCTCTTTTCTACATAAATAACTTATTTTTGTCTTAAAATCTTTACTACAGTAACTGATTAAAAATAAGTCTAGTTTATTTTGATTCAACTCCATTAAAACCAATATCAGTATGAATTATGACACACTTATTGATATTACATTATTCCATAGCTTGAATTTTGTTAAATGTAAAAATCTTTACCAATTGTCTAGTTATGGGTCTAATTGCCACTGACGAAGACATTAATTAAAATTAATTACCAAAAGCTCCTTAACGTTGCAGAAAATTTGCAAAGGTTTAAATCAAGCTATGAGGATGTTCACAAAAAACATGTGTATCAATTTTCACATGTTTTTATCATTACTAAGTAAAGTTATGGTGTTAAAACAGTTTATGTTGTGTATTTCTTTATCTCTGTTGCATTAATGATGCATATGACATGTATGATTGCATGAAAGCGTACTTTCAGAGATTGCGACATCATACTTTTGTTTTGTGCTCAACTTGAAGGTTATAAGAAGTGTTTAACAGTGTCTCCTTAGCATGTAAATTTACCCAGTTTTAAGGGGCAGTGCTACCTTAGGATTCTTGTCGTGCTCTATACTTAACAGTCTGTAATAAGATAATTACAATGTGCTTTCTCGACAGTTTCAGAGTTATTTCGTACTCAAATGAGAGCGTGGTTACAGTCTGATCTTCCTATACATACTTAAATACCTACAAGAAAATGCGTTTTTCTTAGTTTGTATTGAGTTTCCCTGTGTTTATAAAAAAGTGCTTAATTTGTGGTTTTCTGACAAACTTGACTACCTTATCGAAAACAGTTAAAATCTGCCTTTTTCTTAGTTTAATGTCGTCCTCCTCACGTATGTAAAGGTATGGTTACATTGTAGTTTAACTACCTTGATTACCTGGTTGAAAGTAATCACAACATACCTTTTTCGTACTGTCACTATATGAGAAAGTACATACCCGATTACCTGTAAGAAAATAATCACAATGTACCTTCTCTAGAGTTACAATGTCAGCTCTACAATAGAACACATGCACAATTTGCTATTCATTGTTATACAAGACAGTAATTATGTTCTGTCTTATTATATACAACTCTGTAAAAAAATTTGCTGACATGTGGTACTTCTGTAGCGGAGGAAGAAAGCTTCTATATTGAGTATGTGTTTCCCACAGTTTTGCTGTTGTTCGGATAAGTCACGAAATGTTTGCATTGGTAGACTTCTGTACTCATTAGTGTGTTATATATCTGCGTGTATCGTTAGTATGGAAGTTTTTATGATACAAATGAAAGTTATAGCGCTCCTATTTTTATAAGGTTCCTTATACTGAATTTAATTGACAGATTGATTACTTTTGCAGGTGTCCGCTACTGATCCCGATTGCGGAGTTAATGCAATGGTGAACTATACCTTAGGCAGTGGGACTGGACCACTGGTTTATAAGGATTTCACTATCCACGTGGATCGTGGTGATTTGTGTATCAATAGGACTTTGGATCATGAGAAGCAAAGCTTCTATGAGATATCTGTTTTCGCTACTGACAGAGGTACATTTCCACATTATTATCACTGTTTGCAAATCATTTAACTCATTTAAATACTTCAAAAAGTTACTATGTAATAATAACAGTTTTTATATGATCCCAGAGCTTACCTACGTTGATATATCGTCTAATGTTAAATATCAGTTCTTAGTGGAGTAGATATTAATTTGGGCTATAGATTGTGCAGTATTAGTTTTTAAGATAACTATATAGTTGGTTGAAATAAAAGCTTGCTGCAGCTAATATTCGTTCCAAAATCACTTCATGCATTCATAGGTTTATATAATTGCTTAAAACCACAATTTGTTGCGATATTTTTTCGAAAATCATTGTTTCTCAGTTGGATTACTCTTTCATAAAACCAATATCTCGGTTATCTAAATATTTTATCTTTTATCTTCCTTTTACAAGTTAAAAATGATTTAAAGTATTTTTCTGAAGGCTTGTAAAACCTGGATTTTAGAAAATTGTGCTGATGGCAGTATGACTTCAATATTCTGCGCTGCAAAAAATCAGCTCAAGCTACTCCCTCGGATTTCTGTGATTATTGAGAAAATAGGATGCTCGCGTCTATTTCAACTATAAGTTCGCATTATCAAGAAACATTACACCGGCAATTTCGAAAAGCACCTAAACGGTGAATTCGGCTATTAATTACTGTCTAGTTTAGCCATTTTGGTATATCAGAGAAATCTTAAACATTCCAATCTACTAAAAATGAAAGCTTACATTTCGGCTCATTTTCTTGAAAATCGTAAAGAATTCAGTTTCGTATACAACCTAGTGAACACTTGAGCGGTTTTTTAACCTTTACTTATTACGAATGTTTGCGTATAGCAATATATAATCTGGGGATTTTAAGGTTAGTGCAGTGCATCTTTCTTACACTGGAGTGTTTACGTACAATTTAGTTGTGGAGTTTCTTAACTCTTTCAAAAATGGAACAATTTTTCCAGACTTCTGGAACAAGCCGTAACATGAATGTAAAAATGCGCCAAGTTTTCCTAACTTTTTGCTCTTTAACTTACCCACTTTTACCTTACATCTTTACAGGGTTTACCCTTTTATATAGCTTGGTTACTTCTTTGATATCACATCTTTATATGGCTGACCTCTTTATTCTAACTTATTTGTTTATGTACATTTAAAATACTTTGATCAGATTACTCAATACATACCATATGTATACCACACATCAGAAAATTCACAAGATATTTTGTTTGACGAGTAATTATTGTAACGTTTCCATTAATTTGTTGATTTCATATCGTAGGAGGTCTGAGCACCACAGCCATGATAAAAGTACAGGTAATAGACGTGAATGACAATCGGCCTATTTTTTACCCACGTGAATATAACGTTAGTCTTCGAGAACAAGTCAGTGTTTCGTCGTCTGTTGTTGTCGTAGTGGCCAGTGACTCAGATTCAGGCAATTTTGGGCGTATCACCTACAGCATAGTGGATGGGAATGGTTCAGGGCTTTTCAAAATTGATGAAAATACTGGTGAGTTATATATTTATATATATTATGTGAAAGGAAAATATACAGTTCACAATAAGTGATAATTTGAATGAAAAATGTGAAATATACTAATACTTGTATTCACCTCTTATGTAGTTGTAGACTTTATTTACAACGACACTGCTTATATGTAACTTAGAATGTATGAGATTACTACAGGTCATATCATTTATTGATAAGAAACTATGTATAGTCTTTGTTTGAATTAGATATTTCCTTTAGAGGTTCCCTTAAACCACGACATATCATTGTTAATACATTCTTCTAAAACTAAGAAAATATAATTATAACGACGTAAGATATTTCATTTATTTTTAAATTATTGACACTATTATAATTTAGTTAACAATTCGTGCCAGATTTAATCGATAAAATCAACGAAAAATAATTGACTAAGAACAAACACTTCACAACAAATCAAGTTATAAATAAATTAACAAACGCTTGGCAAGGATGATATGGTCAAGCG